TGTGCCGGCGGGCCCCTCCCCCCCCCCAGCCACTTCACCGCCTCGATGCCCTCATTGACCACCACCAGCTGCTGCAGGATCTTCACATCGACCGCTCGCAGATAAGCCTGGCAGGGAGACACAGAGCGCAGAGTTTTTTTGGGTGAACGAGGTGACTCTGGTGGCCAAGGAACCCAAGTCCCAGCACAACCCGGCAAAGGTGTCATCATGGGGGCTGCAGGTCTCCCAAGCTGCTTGATGAACAGCATGGCATGGGGGAACACCCTGCAGGGAACCATCCCGGGGGACCCTGGCCAAGACATGGGGACATGAACATTGGGGAGCAATCACTTATGGCACCCACCAGTCACCAACCCACTTGGGGAAATAAATCCAGGGCACTTCTGTCACTGCCTCCTCTGGTGACAGGAGTAAGCAAGGAACTGGAGGCTCTGGGTGCAGATCTGAGCCCAGAGCATCCCCCAAGCCCTGGGAGGAAGGCAAGGAATGCGCTGGGACATTGCTCACATCTGGCTGGACCGTCAGCACCTCCCCAGACTGTTTTGGCCAGGTGCCTTCATGCATTTACTTTCCTCCTCCTAGGGTCTGATCCAAGCCTGGTGACAGTGTGACACAGCATGACTTGGAGCCTGAGACCCAAATCACTCCCAAAACAGAGGAGGATGGAGGGGTGCACAGGGATTGTGGATCACACCGCTTGCCTCACCAACTCCTGCCCCTCTGAGCCGGGGGAAGCTCTTTGCAAAACTTCAGTTGCTGCAGAAACATCTGTTTTTCTAATGGAGAGCCCTGCGTGCCAAGACATTCCTGTCTGTGTGATACTGGCCGCCGAAAGCCACTGGATTTCCCCTGCGCGGGACGCAAATATCTTGCCAGGAAAGGGAATAAGGCAGCAGCAGTAGGGAGAGGGAGAGAAAGCCATTGCGGGACAGGTACAGGCAGCCTGGGAGCTGTGGATGCCCATGGACTTGTCCACAAACACACCCCATCCCCAGCTGTGATGGAAATCCACACGGTCCCCCGGGATCATTTGTAAGCACAGCGCCTGGTCCCAGCATCCGGTGCCCTCAGAGTCACCCACCCGCCCACGGGTGACCCCCATCTCCAGTCCCACAGCGAGTGCAGCAACAAAAGCATCCCAGGAAGGAGCCTGGGAAAACTCTAGCCAGGGTTTTGGCAGTGACATCTCTCAGTCCAGAGGACACAAAAAAACAGGGGCAAAGATTTGTAGAGACCCGACACCAACCCCCATCCCCTCCCCATGCTCCTCAAGCTGGATTTAAATAAAAAATAGCAGCGATGTGCCTGGACTGGGGCAGGAGCCAGCTTCGAAGTGCAGAAACTTCCTTTCTAGGCAAGTTATTTCAAAAACTGCCTACAATGGGCTTTTCTGCACGCACTGGTAAAGCATCTGGCCTTGGCAAGGGAA